TTCACATAACTCAAACAAATATCTAAACGTCACATATATTTAATTATTGTTTCAATTTCTGTAATCTCTCTCTCTTCCTCTCTCTCTCTCTCTCTGTATCCATAGATTCAAGGAAAGAAAGAAGAAAAAAAGACCAACTACTATCAAATCACCTCCTTCCTCCAACACCATTTGCCCAAATTACATTTTCCTTCAACGCCAATTCCACCCTATCCCATATCATTCCATTCCATTCATTTCATTTCATTTCCAGGAGACCAAGAAAAGAAATTGAAACAAAAAGACTCCTTCGTTTCAATCGAAAAAGAGAACAGTCAACAAAATCATTCCAAAAACACCCCATTTCCCAAATTTCCTATGCGCCTCCAACCATGAACTCAGAATCTTCCCATTCTTTGTCATGTATGCGTGTACTTTTGTCAAACCATCAAATATGGTGACCATATCAAAACCCTCCACCCCTTCCCAGCGCCTTTAGCATGGATGTACGCCCCCACCATGCATGAGTTTATTTCCGTTGTAATCATGATTTTTGAAAAAGAATTCGGCTCAGGATTTTGAAACCAGTCCATGGAATATTAGAGGTAAGAGTAAAATATGTATAAAGGAAGAACAGGGGAATGAAGATCATACCAATATGAAATTACTTTCACCCAAAGGAAAAGCGAAATGGGTTGCTGGATCCAAATGATCCATAAAGTACAATCGAAAAAAGAAGCATTTTAATTTACAACCTAGAGGTAATTGAAAAGTATATTCGTGGCGGTCGAAGAAGCTACGCGAATATAGTGCGCCTTGTCATAATCCATAACTGCGAGAGGAAATGTAAAGAGCATAGGTCTATTACATGTTAGGATTTTGAGATGGTGGCATGGTACCTAAACCATATGGATTTTGTGATTGATGCATTGGTGGCATCTCTTCGTAGATAGGAGGAACGATATACTGTGCAATTCCTTGTTGAATACCGATAGGAGTATCCTTGTGAGCGAAAAGCATGGTTTTGAGTTGCATAATTTCATGAGCCATTTGTTGAATTTTTTGATGCAGAGACTCATTTTCGTTGGTATACGTATCAACCTTACTTTGTAAGTTGTTCAACCATTGCTTCTTACGCTGTCTACATTTAAGAGCAGCAACCCTAGGAAATTTGTTAGTGAGAAAAGCAATGTAAAGAAAGAAGAAATCTACCTATTCCGTTCAAGAAAACTTTTTCTCTTTTCATCTTCAGTTTCTGGTTTCTTTGGTTTACCATTATTGTTGTTGTTGTTGTTGTTGTTGTTATTATTCTCTTCCTCTTCAAACTCCAGTTGGTCATCCATGTTATCTAGATCTTCATTGGTGAATTCTTCTGGTTTCGAATCATCATTACCCTTTTGAGATTTGGTTCTCTTGTTATTCTTTGGTGGGGTTTTGTTGGTACTTGCTTTCCTTTTGGTAGCAGCTCTCTTCTTTCCTTGAGCACCTTGACCATTCATCTCATTATCATAAGGCATGCCATTACCATTGCTTGTAGGACTCATTGAATTTGAGTGAATGGAATTATTCCTGGTGCCAGAGTGACCATTTGTCAAAGGATGATTGTTTGGTCGACCGGGTACTTGACCATTAACTTGAACAGGTTGCATATTTTGATTCAACATTTGATGATTGCGATTCAAGATATGTTGTTGTGCGGAGAATGGTGGTTGCCTTGATTGACCCAATGCGAGATTGTGATGTGGTGAAGAGTCGCGAGATGAAGCGGAAGTCTGAGTCAACAATTGAAGACTTGCAGCTGCATTTAATGAATCATTGTCGGGGTAGTTACTCATGACATTGTGATTATCTTCATTGTGTTGTTGAGGTTGTGAAGTGACATTCATATCTCTCTGTTGTTGAGCAGCAAGACTAGCAGCTTGAATAGCCGTTCGCTGGAATTCAGCCAACCCAGGTGTCTGAACCGCTCCAGCTCCAAAACTATATCCACCAGGACTTGGAGTTGGCAACACCCTTGAATGCATACCCCTCAAATCAGATGTGACGGGAGTGTAACCTCTTGGACCATCACCAATCAAATTGTGATCTGCGGAGAAGTAATCTTCGGCGGGTTCTTTTGGGCCGGTGAGCATATTAGGGCTCAATGGACCAGACCTTAATCCACTCAAGCCGAAACCAGGCGACGATGCTGATTGTAAAGCTTGGATAGAAGGTAACAAGGTGCCACCAGGTGTTTTGGCAGGGAGGGTTGATTTCACGGGACCACCTCCAAATTGTGAGTCGAAAGGATTTTCTTCCTCTTCGTGTGAATTATTTGCCAACGCTCGCTTCGATAGGTAATCGGAAATGTTGTTTTGTGGAGGGACAGGTATGGTTGGAAGTTGTCGACCGACATCCAACTGAACTGGCTTCACCGTGATATCTGGTACTGATGAATCGGCAGCTATGTGAGAGGGTGATGTTAGTTACTTGGTTACACCTATGTATAGCATATCATTGTTTCAGATGGCGGAGATGGAGGAGATGGATGAGAAGTATCAAATGAATCAGATGAATTTAATTGGATTGATTCCATGATCATGGACAGGAATAAGGTCAAGGTCAAAAGGAAGACTCGACGTGGTGACTAGGGATGATTGGATTGAATGAATACTTGCCTGGTGGTAAAAATTTCTCCTCTACAGGACTACTGCCGATCTTGGAAAAGGTCGGCATGATGATGAAATGGAGACGAGAGGACGACTAGTAAGGAAAGAAAAAAAAGTAAAAGATATTGAACGACGACGTAATGGATGAACCTTGATGCCGTTGAGATTGAGAATTGAATTATCACAAGAGGTTGGATAACAAATGTCGTTAATCGTATCGTGTTGCCGTGCAATGCAGTTTAAACGATGATGACGATATAATGACGAAGGTGGGTGGACTGTTTTAAAGGACTTGAGAGTGACAATAGTGACAATAGTGAATGAGTCGTTCGCCTATAGGATGGATTGGTAATATTGGCGTTCGCAGTAGTGTGGGCGTGTGGGTTATGTGGTGTTTGATGTTGGATCGGGGATGTTATGTATCTGGGTGGCGGGTAGATTTATTCCTTGGTGGAGAGTTGCTAAGAGAGAAGATGATCTTGGATTCCAACTTTGACTAGTCGCGTTGTTATTGTTATTGTTGTTGTGCTGCTGTTGGTGTAGCTGTGCTTTATTGATTGATTGATTTCTCGATATTTGAAAAGAATCCTCGATAATAAGGATGATCTTTTGGGTGGCGACGTGTTTGAGGTTGTAAGTGTAAGTGGATGTGTGTGAGCGTGTTGTATTGTGTTGTATTGGTAAGTATTCTGTTTCGTCGTATTGCGCGATTGCGATTTGTTTTGCAGAATGTCTGTGTGACTTGACTTGACTTGAGGTTATTTCGATCGAATTGAATTGTGTGGATTCGTGGATGGATGAATCACAGCAACAGGATGAATGGCTGGATGGACGGATGAATGGATGAATGAATATGATGTCAGTGTATCTTTTGGTAAGAGATACCTTTGATACCTTATCGTATTGAGATGGATATTCGAATATAGAAACACGGGCCGAGGGAGAAAAGAAACTTTTAGAGATTTGCTCTTACGGAGGGACCGCTTGGAATTTTGAATTTTGAGTTCCTTTCCGATTTCCCAAACGTTGAAAGGTTCGAGGGTTTTGATGGTGGTTGAGTGAATGAGTAAGATGTAGCGGTGACGTAACGTTTTTTGGGGGGAAGAAATGGATGGATTTGGATTGCGAAAAAAAAAAAAAAAAAGGTGATGAAATTTAATTTTGCGACCGGTGGGTGGATTTATGGTGATTCAAAAAGGAAGTGTTTCCCTCTTCTATTTTGATCCGATTTTTCCTTTCTTTCTGTTTTCTCTCTTCTCTTTTCTCTTTTCCCTTTTTCTTAACAAAGCATTCGAATGTAATCTTAAAATCAAATACGAAATCAAAATCAGAGTTACCCTCTTTTACCCTCTCTCTCTCTCCTCTCTCTTCCTTAATCAAAAAGACAGACAAAAAGGAAAAAAATACCAATGAAATCAGTAAATTGATATTTCCTCCTTTGAATGTAGTAATGAATTAATAATTGATGAGGCTCTGTTTTTAAAAATAAAGTTATGAAATTGAAATTATTCGAGTCGAGGCTTAAATTCGACGTCGTCTTATTCTCTTTGGGGTTTGTTGTGTCGTGACTGTGGAAGAGGATACCGTAGCCGTCGGATACGATACGATACGATACGATACGATGATGTGGTAAGAAAGTTGCAGGAGAGAGAAAGAAAAACGATGACGAAAGATGATGATGACGCTTGATGTGTGAACTCTTTGATTTATTTGCAGATGAGAGTGCCCTTCACATTAGCGTGCGTGAGACTCAGAACCAGTTAGAGAGTTGTATTTTAGATAATGCTCCACTTTTATTCATGTGCTTTTAATTGACGCTATTCCTATTTCATTTCCCATCAACTCCTTGATTAGAAGGAGAGAAAAAAAGAAGAGAGAAGAGAGAAGAGAGAAATGAAAATGGTGTGAATGACTAATGAAGAAATGAATGGGGAATGATACGGTGAATCATAAAGATAAAGAATGCAAGATTCCATCTATAAGCCAATCAATTCACATCTTCTTCAGGAGACAAGCTTCCTCTTGGGAAATCTCGAGTCAATATGCCACGAGATTTCATGGAGATGTCATTTTACTTTGATACATCACGTGCACTGACTGACTAATGATTGATATTAATAAATGTTAAATGTTAAATGTCAAATGTCAAATGTCAAATGCCAAATGCCAAATGATATATACGAGTTTCATACACATGATAAACCATTAATCTATATCATTTTATTGTACTCCTTTCTATCTCTTGTATCTATCCACTCAGTAACATCTGCTAGAAACACGATAGAAATACACACCAGATAAGTACCTCCCTCCCTCCCTCCCTATCTATCTACCTACCCAAACAATTCAAACCTGTCAATCATCACCCAGCCATCCCCATCCCATCTCACCATCCCATCTCACCATCCCATCTCACCATCCCATCTCACCATCCTATCCTATCCAATCCACCTCCCTAGATAAGAAAGAAGTCCAGCTAGATCCTTCATACTCCATATCCATATCCCTAGCTAATCGCACCAATCTCCTTTCTTCTCCCTGCTTCATAAACCACACCCTCATCCTTCTTCTTCTTCCTCGGCAACAAAACTGTGGCAAAGTACAAACAAAGTATACGTACCTAGTAATTTCATTCCTCTCCTCCTCATTACGGTAACCCATTTCATACAACATCTACCCAGACACGTGCCAAGTACTTATCTCTATCTGCATCACGTGCCTCATCCTTCGAAATATCCTTCATACTGTACAACTGAGTCCACCAGTATTCTATCTACACTCAAAATATTTATCTCTTCCTCCCCACATCACAATTACCTCCGATCCCCAATCAATCAATCACTTTCGCAAATCCAATCCAATCCATCAAGAAAAAACATCGCTATTCCGTACTAAAATAGACCTTCCATCCATCCATCGACCGGTATCTATCTAGTCATCAATCAAGCATTTTGTATCATCGATCTGCAAATCACGTACCTATTGAATTTTAGATTTTCTCTTCTCTTCTCTTCTCGGCTTACCAGCATTATTCATATTAATAATTCCACCTTCCTTTTTGGTATGTGTGTAGGTAGGTTAGCGTGAAGAGTAAGGTTGTTTATTACTTGATAACTAAATAATGTTTGGAGATTTAGAGATGGGGATTTGGGTTGGACTTGAGGATTTTCAGGACCAGATGCAGATATGTACTAGGTATATGGTAGGTAGACGACTATTTTTGATAGTGTATACTACATACATCATGGATTTCTTCACAACTCACCAATAACACGATACATCATGGTATGTATGTACGAATTAGGTAATTCTACACCTCTCCTCCCCACATCACTATACATTCTATTGCCCATCTCTAAGTCCGAGTTCACCTCCCGAAGCGAGGCAAAAACAAGCGACCTCAAAGTCTCGCTCCCCTTCCTACCCCCCGAATCCTAAACCCATATCTCGGAGTATGAATCCTGACCCTCGTCCCCCCCCTCATCACCGACTCAACCACAATCTCCCTCGTCGACAGCCCCACCAAAAACCCCCTATCCCTCCTCTTCATACCCGTATCAATGGGCCAAACTTCCACCTCCTGTCCCCTTTGCAATCCCGTCGGATCAAGCGCATCAACACCTTCATCTCCCTCTACGAAATCAGACGCCGCGACTTTCTCAAGTACTTCTGCTCCTGAGAGAACAGTGGGTTTGGGGTTCTTCTTCGCGGCGAGTCGCACCGCTTGCTCGAATCGCCCGATCCATGCGTAGGTTTTGGGGAAGTGTTGCGCGGAGATGTAGGATGCGGGTAAGGCACCGGGTAAGGTGGTCAACCAATGGAATGGCCAAACCGCTAGACTTAGAGTCAGTATCATTTCTAATTTCCCATGTCCCCCCTCACCCTACACACCTTCAATATCCGCCAACATCGGCCCCTCACTCTCCAAAATCCACTCCCTCCCATCCCCCAAAAACCCATTCTCCAACAACTCAAACGCCCCCTTAAACGCGGCCAACGCTTCGGGTCTCCCCTTCTCCAAACTCCCCCTCTCCCAACTCTTCCCCGTGTAATCCTCCCGATCTCGCGTAAACTTCCGATCCCCCAACAACGGCAAATCCAACGGTAACAACTGCGCCGCGCGCAAAAACAGCCCATCAACCGTCCACATCTCCAATAACTTCTCCATCCCCATCTGTCCTGAGATTTTCGGATGAGACGGATACAATTCCTCTAATTTGCGCAGGATCAATCGCGTGTCGTGGTAGATGTCTCGACCGATGCATACGATAGGGATACGTCGATATTGGGTCCCGAGTGCTTCGACATCGGGGCGTGGCATGGTGGGGGGTTGGAGACATTCGGAGTAGGGGATTCCGCGGAGAGTGAGGTACCATGTTATTCTTTTGGGTGGGTTAGGAATTGGAGTTTTAATGGGGGGATGAATTGGGATGGGGAGATAGATATATAAATAAATAAAGAAATAAATAAATAAAGAAATGCATATACATACCTCTTAGCAAAAGGCGAAAATCGATAATGAAAGATAATTATCTCGGGTTTCTGCATCTGCATCGACGTCATGGTGATGCAATGCGATGCGATACTGCAGATGATAAGGTTAAGATAAGTCTGCACCTGTACTCTGAAATATGTATGTATATATGTGTATGTATATGTTTCAAAAATTGAATAGAATATTAGCTGATGGAACCGTAACCCCCCCCCCGCTCGATAGATGAAAGGAATTGAGTTATGATCAATTGATCAATTGATCAATGAATGTAATCTTACTTTGATTTTAATTTTGATTATAATTTTGATATTCTGGTGAGTGAGTGAGGAAGTGAGTAATGTATTGTTGTATTATCAATAAATCAGAAAATGAAATAATGGACGATGAAATAATGAAATAATGGACAACGAAATAATAAATAAGTAAACCAAGAAAACCACACTCGAGAAATACTCCATCAACTCTCGAGCTAGACCCCGAGCTTCAAAACGCGGAGATGGGAGATGGGAGATGGGAGATGGGAGATGGGGATGCTGGGGTATGGATACCGAGGTTCGGGTTTAGTCGTTTGATTGTTGGATTTGATTTGATATGTGAATTTGTGAATTTGTGATGGAAGCGAGGCGAAACGAGATGAGATGAGATGAGATTCTCTGGACTCCTTACTCCTTCATCATTCTTTTCGTACCGTGTGTAAATATCGATGCTTTCATATTGAAGCTACAATTATTTTTCAAAACGGGAGAATTTATCCATATTATCTAGCTGTGGGTGAGTAGTAAAGTAGATATGCGAAACGGTATTTCGTGTGATTTGTATCTCACAAATTCTTTTCTATGCGGCCTGGTCTGGTCCTTCTCCTTCCGCGTGCGTCTAGATCTAGAATTCGAAATCAGGTTCGATCGAGACTCTAGATATTTCGTATTCTGGCTCTTGGATTTTAGACATGCAGATATATTACCCCCTTCGTTTAACCCCCGAATCTTGTGTTGCAAGATCTAGATAATAAAAATAGTAACCAGAATTGATATAATATAACTACGAGATGAGCCTTGAAAGGGAAGTTTACTCTTAAAACTCACATCGGCAATCAGAAATGGATGAATGTGAGACGTATTTTTGGGTTGGTTAAGGAGGATACTGGTTCAAGTGGATCAATTGTATGGCGGTTACTTAAACTATACTGATATGAAATCAACTTAGCTTCAAAAAACGCCGTTGGTTATAATCGCATTTAAGCGCTTGTCGTTTCAAGTAGACAAGCACTTATATAAGACCTTGTCTTTTCGGATAGGTGTTCAAGTGTGTATGATTGGATAATTTCTAATTTGCTTCACTAGGAAGCAGCTTTGGATTGCGTGGATTTTGGATTTAAATTTTGAAATTTGGTGCGTATCGTAGACCGGAAATGAGCTTAATTGAAATGAGAATGATATTCAAGTCGATCAAAGGAAGGTTTATTGCTGGAAGGGATCTAAGCGGCGAGGAAAGGGGGAGTGTTTCAAGTAGAAACTGTGAGGATTATTCATATATCATTTTAAGATGTTGGTAGATGAAGATGGAATAGGGGTTGGCTCTGGTTTCTCGGTGGAAATGCTCGATGGGTTGAGCGCTGTAAAGAGGTTGCGAATAGCGAGATGCATGGATGCTTATATTTATAGACCGCTGTTCTGAATTTGAGGGGCTGAACATTTAATTTGCTTTAAGTTGAAATTGAGATGCTGATGTGTATCTTTGCGTAGAGAATGCTAGAGGCGGAAGGCGGCAGGGGTTAGTGAAGAATAATGGATAGGTCAAGACAAAGTGGATTCTATTCAGACTTACAAAATATTCAGAACAAAGCCCTTCAATAGTGAGACTGCGGGAGCTTAGCGATTCAAAGGGGGCGATTGTAATGATTGCGCGAACATTAACAAAGATATCGAAATTCTTTCGGAGACATACTAATTGCAATTCTCATATAAAGTTATAGACAGATATGTTTATAGTATCACGAGTCTGCTCTCTTCCAAGATCGACAAGAGAACTAACTTCAGATTCTTCTTGACGCCAATTATCGTATTCTCGTTGAAATTGTAGTCGCCATATTTTTAGAAGAATTCCACACTAATCCTCTCATAACTGCCTTTACCAACAACGACTTTGGTCATCTAAGAGCTGTCGTGGTGTCAGTATATAATTCCTAGAATGGGACGAGACCATATGGGTGAGCTCACTGGCTTGGATATCATCCCTCATTTCATTATATGTGAAAACTTGTATCAGACTCTAGAAGACAAGACTCTCACTGGTATTTTGAGTTTGTGCTACGGCGTACGAAATCGGCTTGAAGATACTCTCGAGTTCGGTGCGCTGCTGTGTTGGCACAACGAGATCGTCAAGAATACTCTGAATGAGCTACATGTGGAATTCAACTTCATCGGTCTCTATATGCTTTTTGTAACATTCGTTACGAGGGCTGTATAATCTTCAAAGTCAGTATATAGCTCTTTAAAAAGGCTTGGTAGAGTAGATCATGCTCTTACCACGTAGCCATATTAATATCCGTCCATGGCATTTGGGGGTTCGCCCTCCTTTTTCCGACTCTTTACTTGAATACCAGCTTGAGCGTCCAACCATTGTTGGGTGAGGTTCATCATCTGTTCAACTTCATCCAAATGATCTTTGAACTTGTCGGGAACTTTTTAGACTTGAATCTCATATAGATGACGTTTTGAGCGTCATCAGACCCCTTGTCCTCCTTAGAAGGGGCCTCTTATGTGGGGGCCAATAGACCCCGCTGTGAGTAGGTATGGAGAGGGACTTCAGCCACGTTAACGAGCCGGTCCGTGTTATCAATTATAAAAGTAGACATTTTTAGATTTCCAGAGGAAGTTTGTTGTGGTATCTGATCTGATAGAAAAGAAAGATGATCTGGTTGTTTCTGGTTGTTGAAGAATGAAATTCTTTGTGCTAACCCAGTAACAGACACAAGACTTTATAGCTCGACTGTAGGTAGAGAAGAGCTGATGATCCTGCCGAGTCCGGAGTGGCATATTGAATAAGTATTGATATTGCTATCTGGACTTGGTCCCGCCTGACGTTTGGAGTCCTGTGACCACCGCATAAGAGGTTGACAGCTCATCGGCGATGATCACAGAGCCTTGACTCGTTAATAAAAGCAATATCATTTTATGAGTCAATTACAGCTCACAGTTGCACTAACGTAAGTGATCCTTTTATCAAACAGGAGTCGTGTTATGTGGGAAGATTCACCTTACCGATGCGCAAAGATAAACGAGGAACCTGCAATGACTGACGAGCAGTTGATAGACCAAACACTAAGAAAACTTTACATCGATGAGGCATTCGTGGAGCTACTGCTTCTCAAGGCAAGCAACATCTCTTTGAGTGTAGTATTTCATCGCCGAGGTTAACAAGGTCCAATGATTCAAGGTCGCAGAAAGCACGCCGGAGAAGCTATTCCTGTGGCTAGATGCTCATTATTATATGCAATTGCAGCATGATTCAGCACCCGTTAAATAAAATAAAAAGTTTTCGAGCCATCACATGTCGGTGATCATGACTAGTCGATATTGAATCAGAGTTACTGATAGTAATCAATTCGTATAGCTGAATTAAGTTTCTGAGAGGGGAAAAAAGAAAACGAATCTATATGTATCATCCATGTCAAACAGCAATAGGTTATATCTCCTTAACTGTCAAACTCTTACGGTTTCAGCGGAATCAAGGCATAGAACCCGCCTACAGCAGTTAAGGGGTTAAGATATACTAAGCATTACAAGCACTAGACTAGACAGAATATAAGGCTATCCCACGTCAGAACCTAGACCACATGATCTGCAATGACTTTCCTAATTTTGTGCTGCCGTATGTCGCGAACTGGAGGTCCCCGCTTATCTACAAAATGTGTCCATAGATTATTCGTCGCTCAAAATGACATGCATATGCGCAACAACATACCGATGATTATTATATTTTCACAAAGAACGAGCTGAAAAGGAACTTTCAGTTTTCATGCTTGCTTTTTTGGTTATGGTCAATGAAAGAGGGGTAGGTAGGTAGATAGAGTGAGCTCCGACTTTGCAACCTGATGAGGTAGAACTCAAGGTATATAAAGCCGAGAACTTGTAACTTATATGTTCACTTAGCTCTTCATTGTTTACTCATAATCCTATACTCGTATGAACAAGTACTTCGTAGCATTTTTTTTAAAAAAAGCTTTTCTCACTCTATTTGATTAAATCGTCTCTGCAAACTTAGTGCTTTCCAGTGATCAACAAGTCGTCGAAATGACAGAGAACGTTGCCAATGATACAGAATCGTCCCAAGCCGTCCGCGACTATGAAACACCGAATCTTCTCTACGTCTCCTATGTCCCGCGCATCGACTATGAAATCGACCAAATCCCCGGAATATCGACACCTGTCTACCAACGTCGAATACAAATATGATGCTGCCAGAGAAACATTCACACCAGGTTAGTTCGATCTGATTTCCGCAGCCGTCTGGTGGCATGATTGCTAAATTGAAACTTCTCAACTTAAAGTCATCAAAGCGACTCATTTCGTCGTCAAATTCCAGTTTGAAGAGGCTTCAGTGACCTCAACTGTATCTTACCGTGACTATCAAATGGGGTTCGACAAAGAAAAGTGGGATCGGGTCAAGCTTCGTGCAAAGGACTTGATCACTTCGGGAGAAAAAATTCTAAAGGAAACATCTCTGGTACTTTTGGTGAATACGCCCTCGTCCTCTGCACATGCTATCAAAGGTTGATGTTGGACAATTTCGTCGCAATTTGTAGTTAAATATGCAAATAAAAAGGGTCCACTGGTGTATGAACCTTGATGAATGACTTCAATTTAATGGCCACTGTACTAAATCTGACGAATCCGAAAGAGACTAGCTCGTTCCCTTATTTAAAGTCTACTATCTGTAGACCATAGCTAGATCTTTAAATAGAATACAATTTGGACGTTTAGGACCTACAGATCGTAGGTGCTACTTCACCCGTATCCTTCTCAAACCAACAATCAGTTTCCATAAAACAAAAAGAGTTATACGATCACAAACATACAGTAGCTTGGTGTTCGGATCTGGGCTGTGAATACAGTCGTAATATGCATTACCAACTTCAATTTACTCACACTGCTTTACCCTCTTTTTTACTATTGTTGTGATGTCACTTCACTTGGCTAGCAGTATTCTTTGGTATTTAGCTACCATTACCACTAGCCGAGGTTAACTAATTTAGCAGCAACGCTGGATGCAAGCACCCGCTGGAGGATTCACAATCAACATTATTTACGGACATAAGGACATATGATTTAAACATTACTCTGACAACTTTTTCCGTGGCCGCCCTCGGTGGTGACCAATCTTAATGAGGTTTTGTGATATGCAAGCAGCCAAGATAGACCCTCTGACAGGCCTCGCATGAACTATTCACAAGAAACAGAAGGAGACAAAAAGCCTGTAGGCCGTGGGGAAGGAGCATCAAATCGATGATTTGGTAATAAATATATATGAGATTTCGAATTCTATTTGGAGAATGAAATATGATGGGATATATGCATGTATACAAATTCTGAAAAGTTTGGTAGGTGAAGTTGAGATTAAGCGAGGGATTTTGCGCTGAGGAACATTAGCGAGTGGGGTTTGTGGATTACTGTAAGGAAGGTAGCTCGGGGGCTATAGTGGGTTCTAAACATCGTGCTCGGTTCTATCAGTGATAAATTCAACAAATGTCGTCAGCTTTGACAATGTTATAATGACACCCAAATTGATGGTCATTTTATCGATGTACGGTGCGCGGAGTTCGTGCTCGAAGGAGCCCAAATCTGAGGAAAATGAGTTAACGTTTGAATAATGTTGTTAATTGCGGATATGAAATATGAGCTGATGTTTCTGTATGCGAGAGTGACAATAAGAGCCGCGATTACTAAAAAAAATCTGACTAGAAAGTAGATGTGTCTCTCATGTCACAGGTTTTGCGAGACTTCTTTTCACGCTTTTTCTTTATGGCGTAGCGCTGAAGTCCAGGAAATGAAAATAGTATATGGTCTCTCACATCTTCCACCAGCGGTCTAGAGTCGAGGAGAAATGAAAAATAGTAGTATGGTTATTGATCATATAGAAGATATCGAGGTAGAAGGGCGGGGATCTGCGCTGAGGAGCGGGGTAGGAGAATTGGCGAGGGTAAATAGGGCGAGAAGTACACCTTATTTGACCAAACTATGTGAGAATACTTTGTTGAGGTCAGGTTATTGAAGATATTCATGCGATAATCACGGGCTTTGCAGAGATCCTTGGTTCTTGAATGGGTCTGGTTTCTGAATGGATCTGTTATCTATGTTTACCGATACTTCAGTCTGAAAACTGTTTGAGGCTGGGAGTGTTGATAATAACTTCACACGGACAGATTGGAATGATCGATACATCATAAGCTCATGATTTTAAAACAAAATTGGAGAGATTGTATCAAATAAAAAAACAGCGATGAAGAGAATCGTAAGGAAATAAACAAGTCTAACTCGTTTCACCTGAGCATACAAGCGTTCTTTTATCAGAAATTCAGACATGACAAGTGGCCCATATTTTGGACGAATTTCTTTATGAAAGTGTATATAGATTCAGGAAGGAGTTGAGTGCTGCGTGTTAGATTATGACTCTTGTAAAGGCAAGGGCTCTATGGAAAGGGCTGAGTAAGGAACGGGTGAGCAGGGTGAAAGGGTATGGGTAAATCATCATCGTCATCACGTAAGCTATATTCTGAACAATCAATATAGACTCGGCCTCATCGCATATCACAAATAGATCAGAAGTGGGAAAGACGAGATTCCGTGCCCCGTGAGGACTTATTCTCTGGTATTTATTGAATCAATACGGAGAGACAAAACGAAGGGAGAGATGAAACAGGGACAGCAGCGGGGAAACTCCGAGCTCAAGCCGCTATTGAACATTAGTTATGTAGTCATCAAGGGACGAATCAAAACTTACAACTAACGAATGGGGAGCCATATGTGGCGGGCACAGTAAAGGCAGCGGCGTCTATTACTCATCAGATAAGCGCATAGAGTATATATATTAAACTTACTGGCAGTGATACGAGCCATTCTGTCCATGTGTCTCCAGTAGAATAACTGCTAGCTAATCGAGAGGTCCGGTTCTACACCTGGAGGAGTAGACCTGATGATACGATAAATCGCTTCCATTCGCGACACCATTTTTTATTCATACAGTTAGTAGTGCTTCAATTGGTTATATGTGGGGCGAATAATGTGGAGACAAAAGATAACGACGGGACTTGGATATCTGGGTGAGGATTGAATAATTAGACAGTCTTGGACAATCAAAATGTCTAGAGCAATTAAAGTAACAATTGCAATATGCCATATTCATCCTTAAGTAAGACTAAAATGTATCATAAAAGCCACGAAGAGTCTGGACTCTTCGCAGAAACCCAGATTTCAGAGGATTCCAGAGGCAAAAGAATGATCGTTCTTGTGTACTATCAGGGGAAGAAACAATTTGAGACAGTGATCAATGGTCATCAAAATAAAGCAATGTGATCTATCTGCTGAAGTTTCTAAACCTTGGGTTTGGATTTGGAGTAGGACACCAAGGGAGATGACTCAAGGTAGTGAAAAGATCCTATAAAAGTAGCAAATTGTCTTGTATTGAACTGTCAAACAACTTCACAGCTCTTGAGGTGACCTAAACCTGTCTGGAAACTGTGCTTCAGAACATTTCTCTGGTCTTCAGATATGTGACACTCTTTGAGGAAGACAAGAGCTGATAGTAGGCTCTATCCTGCTTCAGATTGTAGTTTTTGTGAAATATCTCATAGCCATCTGAGAACAACGGCACCAAAGAACTCATACATACCAAAATATGGCACAATTAATCTGAAATAACGAGCTGAAGTTGCCGATGAAACTTAACACAGCCAGGACAATGTATCAATCTTTTCTTAAAGCAACCCAAAATTCCTGTTCAATAGCAAACAGCAATATCTCAATTGCATAAGAGAACGTCTCAACAGCAAATTTGATTTGTACAAGATACCTCAAAGAGTTTGTAAGAATACTACACTATAGTAAACTCCTCTTGGAAGGTTTCAGCAGACAGTATGATTCTGAGGTGTCTTCAAGTAATCAACAGATTGTCTAAATCTTCACAGATTTGTTGAGAACTCCAAGAAGCTTCAAAACAAACCAGAAGAAACATGGGGAGACATAGCATATCCATCATCAACGTCTTTAAAGACCTCAGGATGTATCAAGCTTTGGCAGACTGTCTAACGAAGAGATGGATCGACAGTAGCTACTAGAACTGGTGGTAGGCGAACAATTGCAAGAAGGGCACTCGAGCCACTTTGCTCCCCGAAGTTAAGCCGTCGTTAATTTCAGGAGGTCTCTAGACGTTCAACTAGAAAACAACTACTCCTAGTGGGTGAAAGACTATCTAAATACTTTTATAACGTGTAAAACCTCTGTTCAAATGAAGTTCGCGCATTGTGGTTGATGGGAGAATTCGATAAAGTTGAGGTCTGGTAGGGAACGCGACAGGAAACTGGGAATACGGTGAAAGCGATGGATTGAGAGGAGAAAAGGAAGAAAAGATGTCAATACGTACGATCGAAATGAGAGATGGCTGTGATGGTTGTTGTTGTTATTGTTGGATTTGATGGTAACTGTACGATTGTAAATTCTCTCGATTGCCAGAGAGAAGAAAATCCAAATCAATAATTTGTGCGAAGTATATTGGTACCGAATGAATGTGATTGGAATCACGGGGACTTAGTTTTTTATGTATTGTATTGGATGTAAAGATCAGATGGGAGGGTTAGCATGGTATGCGAGGCTGCGTGCAAGCCTTCTGGCGGGTTGGGAGATATTATACGCGTGTTTTTGGCTTTTCTGAGATTTTATTAGCTTTTGCAGGGACGTTTGCATTCTACTGGCGGTCATTTTGATCATTATCCATTCAGCGGTAAGTGATGATATCTAAAAGTTTACTTATGTAGCTAATTTTGTGCTGTTAATAAAGAAAGTCCGCTCTGTATTCGTGCAGAAACATCAGACTTCGAGCTCTCCCTCTGCAGCAACACTTTACCGCCGTACCAGAATCACGCAAAACTTATCAATACCAATAACTTAAGTATTCAGTTCATATTCTGAGAGCTTGCATGCAAACGCTGAACGGGAAGCCATTCCAATTTCGACATTACTTCGAATGACCATGTTCGGCCTCTACAATCTTATCCTTGACATCACTATTAGATTCAAGCGCAGGAGTAACTTGAAGCCATAACATTGGTGAGCAAAGCTGTGACTAAATCGCAACTACTTGAGGGTTTAGCTAACACTAGAGTGGATTTTGGCAGACGCGTTTCCTTCAAAATGAGTGACTTCTAGAAGGCAGGTAGAAACGTCATCAACCGTGCAGCAGCGTTTTCAACGTCTTTACACTACTAGTTCTTTCACGTGGAGAAGAAAGTCATTGGGGTTGATCTGTGAGTTTGACCTTTTTACTCCTCGAATTTCTTTGTTAAGCCGTCCCGCACTTCTTGCATTTATCCGCCGTTCATCGAAACTTCAATTTCTCAACTCTTCTTATATTCATTGATCGTCATCTACCCCTTGATGTTTCACCAGCTAATCTAGATGACCCATTATGCAGATGCATATTCAAGGATACGGGTATCATCCTGGAAGTAATGACCTCTCAATTTACGCAGGATACCAGCAGGCACGAGCTACCATCAAAACGAC